ACGGTCATCACTATTTCTGACTGAGGGGAACTCATGCTAAGAAAGGTCAGAAAACTCAGATCTTAAAGTAAAAGTTTTTGATACTTTAACATGTTTTATTCCACTAAAATAGTTTTTTCTACTCTAAAATATATTATATTTCTCTTATGAAATCTATTATTGAATGTGTATTCTACTGTCATTGGTTTTAATCCTTTTCATATCTTGTTGAAAAATCAAACACTGATGTCTTTGAGGTTACATGAGGAAATGAATCCTTTTTTCTGTGAATTGATCGGTTGAAGCATCCAGAGATCATTATTTCCATTCCTGTTTGTTCCTTCATGCCCAGAAACATGGAGTTTCTACGGGTCCCACAGCTTCACACTCGGCACAGATTCCGCTTTATGTTACGTCTGCTGTCCTTTTCCACCTCAGTCACACAGAAAGTTAAACAAAATGCTCATTTTTTTCTGTTTTTAGTGTAAAAAGATGAGATTATTAAAAGATAGGAGGCGTTTGTCAAACTCTGGTTTCTATCTGCTTTATTCATCAGTAACAAACATGTTTCTAAAGGCAGTGACGGGATGACGTTTCCAGAACAGGATTGATTTTCTGCTTGTTTCCTTCCAGGTCTCAGCCCAGCATGATCAGATCCCTCCACCCAGCAGCCTCTGTGGTGCGAGGAGCGTGCGGCCCAGCAGCCACCATGTCATGTGTGTAGAGGATCGGTGGCGGCCCCAGGCGGGATGCTGCTGGAAGCTGGTCAGTATGAATCTGCTGGACTTGTGGCTGTCGCGCTCCATCCCCATGTGCCTGCTGCTTCAGAGCCTCGTCCTCATGGCCCTGTGCTTCCCCTCGGCCAGCATGTGTCCCAAAGGCTGCAGCTGTCTGCGCGACCCCCACCTCCACGGCCTCAACGTCACCTGCAGCCAGTCCCGCCTCAAAGAGATTCCCCCCAACCTGCCCATGGACACCGTCCTCCTGCGGCTGGAACACAACCAAATAGGCGCTGTGCCTGACCAAGCCTTCCGGGGGCTGCGTCTGCTGAGGGAGCTTAACCTCTCCTATAATGCGGTGGAAACTTTAGGGGAGGGTTCCTTCAGTGGCATAGAGGGGACCCTGCAGGTGCTGGACCTTTCCCACAACCGCATCACTAGCGTTCACAGGGATGCTTTCGCCCGGCTGAAGGCCCGCATCATCGTGGACGATAACCCCTGGCACTGTGACTGCGCCCTTCAGCAGGCCATCGGCGGAATGGCTCACAACCACGAGGCCGCTGCCAGGCTCCTCTGCAGGAGCTCAGAGCTTCTGGATCAGGAGGGCCGGCCCTTCTTGGCTGTGGACACTGACCTCTGTAACCTGGCCAAAAGGACCACAGACTACGCCATGCTGGTCACCATGTTCGGTTGGTTCGCCATGGTCATATCGTACGTGGTTTACTACGTCCGTCAGAACCAGGAGGACGCCCGCCGTCACCTGGAGTACCTCAAGTCTCTCCCAAGCAAGCCCAAGAAACCCGATGATGCTGATGACATAAGCACTGTTGCCTGACAGCAGCAGCGTTGCCGTGACGCTCCGTCGGACTCCGTGAAATGTTTACGCTACAGGACCCACATTTATATAGACTACTGGTTTAAGTCTTCGCCTCTGTTGGCATCCAGAGGTCTGAACTATCGTTGTACGTCTTTAACAGGCTGAGTTTGTGTTTGAAGTGAAATCAGGCGAGAAATGAAGAACGGGCCGCAGCATCTTCAAACCACAGCGTTCTGAAAATCTCAGGTTCAAACAGCGAAACGCTTTTTAAATGATGACTGGAAATATTTGGGAAATGAAAACATTTAGTTATTAAACCAGAAGAGAAACTTAAAAACAGTTTTTGTTTGAGCAACACAGTGTTTTAAAAAGTTTCTATCCTTAATTCACTACATTTAACTAGTAAAATCCTAAACCTTACCAAGCAGATTCCTGCCAGAGAGAGAAGACAGAATGCTTTAGTTGGTGTTTGTGTTTTTCATGGACAGGCGGACGTAGTTCTGATGTGAAACAGATGCTGTGATGCTTTGCCTTCTTACAGATTAGACTTTTTTTTGTCACATAATATTTCTGTTCTTCCAGAGTTAATACAAAAAGCTTTAAGTTATCATTTAATGTGTTAAAGCTATTTAAACCGGCTTCGACCAGCGATCTAAAATCACTGCGGAGTGGTGAACATCTCTGCTTTGCACCAATCTTTTCATTTGAACATATTTTCAGGATGACCTGCCTGATTAAGATCATCTCACAGCGTCTCAGTTGGGTTTATTTCTGCAATTTGTCAACATTCACATCGTCACTCAGATTAATATTTTTTTGCATGGTCGTCCATGTTACTGACAGATTCAGTCTCAGGACGCCAAAGCGACCTGCAGACGTCGCAGAGCAGATCCATGTTTAGGGAACTAATCACTGCTAATAGATGTGTTCGATAAAAATCCCCTGAAATAAACAGCAGTCCACGTGGATGCATGACCGACCGCATCATAGAACAATGAAGGTAGGACAGAAAAACCAGAGCGTCCGCCGTCAGTGGAGCCGCCAGCCATGCTGCGGCAGGGAGTCTGTGGCGTTCAGGGACATGGTGGAAAAGGCAGACTTAGTTTTAGCTGAGGTTGTTCAGAGTCAGATTTGGGCTTTTGACTCTGCTTCTCCACGATCTTCATTCAGTCCCTCGGTGATGGTCTGATGTTCTCCTTCAGAGATTCCTCTCAGGGAGCAGGGCGGCAGACACTCCTGGGAAGGTTCTTCACCTTTCCATACGTTCCCTCATGGGTTCTCTGAAGTTCCCACAGTGTCTGTAACTCTTCCCAGACTGATTCCCATCAGTAAGCCTGTTCATCTTCTGCTCTTGAATTAAACTGAAGCCTTTCAATGTAATTCAATGTAATTACAAGGATAACGAAGGGTTTTCCATTCTATGCTCATATTCTATAATATCTGTGAAGATCCTCAGTCATCCAGGTCATGGTCAAGCTTCAGTCTAGGCAACTGGACGTGAAGTTTTCTACAGCACTTCTGTCCTCTCATCCAATAGGATTCTTCGGTTGTAAGTAGTGGTGGGAAGCACTGAGATCAGTATATTTTAGGTGGAACAAAGAGTTTTAAAACCTGCTGATGAAAAATATTGGATTGTATTTTCTGGTTCTTGCAGTTTTTACCAAACCTTAAAAACTCTTTCTATTCACTTCCAGCCATTACGAGCGGCAGCAGGAAATCCCCCACAGGCTGGCCGCAGCAGAGAGCTTTCAGCGGGGATTCCCAGCACTGCCTCCCGGCGAGATGCTGGAGGTCTGGAGCTCCCAGTAAGAACTGCAGATTATAGTGGGATTATAATCCTGATTAACTGATGAAGAGAGGATGTTTGGAGGTGAACTTGATCTTAAAGTAAATAAAGCCAAGCTGCTCTCTAGCTGGAAGCTACAGAACAGATAAACAACCAGAGCGCCGAGCGGCAAAACAGCTGGACCACAGTCTGAGTTGTGAACTACGGTTTGTCCATTTTTGACGCTAAAAACACTTTTGCTGTGAAAGCAGCATTAATGGTCATAGTGGGTTCTGACGGGTGGTTAACTCCCTCCTCTGAGTGGTTTCAGTCACCTGCCTCATTGAAGGGTGAGTCCGGTGGGGGCAGGTCAGAGGTGAATCTTCTGGGTATTGTTCCTTAAAGTGCTTTGGAAGTAGGTGAAAGGTTCTGTCCCAGACCACCTCCTCTGTTCAACGACGGTTTTTCCAGGTTAGCAAAGATGGCCGCCTTAACGCCTCTCTCAAACCATCTGTCTTCCTTGGCCCGTGCTTGATTAGCATCCTTTAGCCTGCAGCTGTAGGTAAACAGCTGAGTCCTGTCCTGAGGAGTTAGTCCTCCTGCATTGAGCCATGCTCCTGTGTAGCGGTTGCTTGGTCTCTCCAGTCTACAGGTCTTTGGTCTCTTCACTACACTGAACGGCGTAAACCACGCTGTCGGTCTTGTTTCTGGGCGTCTTGTCTTTGGGGTGAACCAGTTTCTGTCTCAGGTTGTTGCCGGGTTTGAAGAGTCCAGGGATCCGATGCTGGTTGAAAATCCTCCTGAGTTTTTCAGAGAATCCAGCAACATCTGGAAAGACGATGTTCCTTCTTTTGTTCTCGTCCCTCTCAGTAGACATCTCCTTATTGGTTTATAGAAAAGTCCATCTGGGATGTCCTGATATCTCCCTGTTCTCTAATCCTCCCTCTGTTAGTGGTGGGAATGGTTTCTGCTGGTGTCTGCAGGGTTTCAATGAGGTCTAGTTTGTGTTCCAGTGGGTGATGTGGGTCAAACGGAGGTACTGGTAGGTGTGTGTGGGTTTTCCTGTAGACTTCTATGTGGAGTTTTCTGTTTTCCATGATCTGAACCACATAGTCCAGGAAGGCAAGGCTGACATCATTCACATCTTCTCAGGTGAACTGGATATTTCTGTCCGCTGCGTTGATGTGGTCTGTGAACATGTTGATATCCTTGGTCTTTATTTTGACCCATGTGTCATTCACGTATCTGAACTAATAACTGGGTTTTGTTCCCAGGAAGCCTAGAAAAACGTCTTCTAGAAAACTTCTCGCCCAGTTGCCTAGACTGAACTTTGACCTGGATGCCTGTGAATCTTCACAGATATGCACAGTTAAAGGTCATAGAGAAACTCTTCCTGAAAGCACAGCATGATGTGGTCTGTGAACATGTCGATAACTTTGGTCTTTATTTGGTCCCATGTGTCATCCACGTATCTGAACCAATGACTGGGTTTTGTTCCCATGTGTGAGTGTAGAGCTCTGCTTTCTACTTCTTCCATGTATAAGTTCACCACTATAGCAGACACAGGAGATACATCCATGCTTCTGCCTGTAGAAATTTTGGTTGAATTGGAAGTATGTGGTGGAGAGGCACAAGTCCAAGACAGAGCAGATGTGATCAGTGGTCAGGTTGGTCTGATGTGCTTCTTTTTGAGGTTGGTTAAATTACTTCCTCAGTTTAAATGAAATCTTTGACTTCTAATTAAAATTAAGGCATCATGACAGCCCAGCGCACCTGATGCATCATCACTGGATGTGTTGTCCAGTTTACATCCAGCTCCAGTTGAACCAGTGAACCCACTGCATTGCAATGAGAAAATGTTCATGGTCAGTAACTGAGCGGTTTCATTTAATGTAGCGGCTCTAAACGGTGGAGGCTTTGGTTGAACTGAATGGGATAGTGAATTATTCCTGCACCACTCTTGTAATAAACCAGGTTGTCTTTCATGAGATGAATCCATGAACTTAGAACTAGAGAATGAATAAACTTCACAAATACTCCATTTGTATTTTTATATATAAAGTACTATGAATGACAGTTTAGCATAGAGCTAAGCAGCCTGCAGGACTGGACTGATTTAAGTGGATCTGGTACAGCACAGATATGTGTCCGTTAATGGTTCTTTTGCCAGGGCACCAGAGGGTTCGAGCAATGGAGACAGGAATCTAAGCACAAGGTCGTCTGACGCCCCCAGTTTGGTTGCGTAGAGGATTATGCAGCATCACGGCCGGCGAGTTAGCCTGCTCACTGGGTAGGGTTCAGTGCTGCTTAGGAAACCTCAGGTGAACGGGTGCTTCCAGAAATTACTGAGAGGAACCAAGGTTTTCGGTTTGAAATATAGTTGAAAAGATCAGCAAATAAAAAATATAAAAACTAGCAAAAATACAAAATGACATGAGAAAAATGGAAAACTGAAACCAGAAAACAGCAGAAATGAACCAGCTGATGAGAGGAGTAGGATCTGGTACTCAGTGAGCTGGTGAACCGGAACTGGAAGTGAGAAGGGAAGTTCAGAAGTCAGTTCAAGGACCGTGGGAATCTTGGATGCTCTTAGAAAGTGCAGGAATGGGACTCACGTTTGAGGGGGGCCTGGTTAGTCCTTGAATCCAGTCTGTGTGTGTGATCCAGTGAAAAGAGCACATGTTGGAGGGCGGACAGGTAGACAGGCGTTGGACCCGGAGGAGTAATGGAGCGGACTGTCACTCGGATTCCCGATGGGAACTTGAACGGAACATGTGGAGGTTTTCCCCTGCTCAGTGTGAACTTTGTATTTCCTTCCAGGGGGTGAAGGTCTAGGTATCCAGTAACACAGGAAAGCTTCCTGATGGAGAGCAAAAAGAAAAAACTCATTAGACTCATAGAAACAATGCTAGGTTAGACTCAGCTAAACTCAGCTTGGCTAGATTACCCAAAACTGGCAAACACTCTGGCGTTGAGGTAGTGACAGCCCACTGCTCAAATACTCCTCCAGATAATGATCCAATGAGCCGCAGGTGTGCAGGGAGGTACAGGGAAGACAGGGCACCTCCTGGTGGTGGAAAAAGGAAACACACAAACAGGATTCCTAACATCCAAGGCTTTCTGAAGCAGGATGAACCCTCTCTACCCACAGCTGGACCCCACAGCGACCCGGCGCTGGAACCAGATGCAAAGCTGAGCCGCTCCCGCCTCTGGTGCTGGTTCTGGACTGGTTAGCTGCTTTTCCATGAGGACCAGATCACGTTTAAATCAGCCCATTCCTTCTGAAGGGTTTCAGTCAGTTGCACCTGAGCAGGGATGTTATGGTTCCTGAATGTTCACACTGGGTTACATCATAATGAAGGCTGAGGTCAGAACCATGACGGTCGGATCATATATGTAGCATTTTATTACGTTCACTTGATTTTAGGGTCACACCTAAAAGCCGTCGAGTCTTCATTAATCTGGAACCTTCCAGCAGAGCATCGCCACGCTCCTCTCTGCGCAGAGCAAATGATGCCTCTGAAGATCTTCTAGTCATTCATGTCCTCCACTGTTTTAATGCTGAGGGCTGAGAAACGGACATTTTAACATGTAAAGAACTTATTTTGATGAGGAAGCAGATTCTGTGTAAATTATTCCCTCCCTTTGAGGTGTTGCTCCTTCTGACATGAAAAAAAACAACCTTTAGGGAGATGATGACCCCTGTGGGGAGGCTGGTGGACGTCCTCGTCCAAGATGTCCGTTAATGAAAAATTTAATTAAAAAACAATCAAATTTAATCTCGTTTTTTTTTTCTTTTTTTATGCCATAAATCATTAGACCAGTTTAGCAAACATCACCCTGCTATAAACTAAAAGTTTCTATAAATGTGGTGATTTCAGGATTGAAAATGATAAGAAGCATCTTATCATCTTATGTGGCCAAATTAAGCAGGTTTTCAGCAAAGAATCAAAGTATTTCAGCTCCAATTCACA